TCGCTGTGCCCAAAGATTGTTCCTCCTCAGTCGGTTCCTGGCAGTCTGATCAGATACCAGGGTACCTGTGGCAGCTCTCAGTTGGTCACGGAGTTGTCTGGCAGTTACTTTGCGTTGTCGAAGGACCATATTTGTCAGGTATCGGTCTTCTCTAGGAGTTGTTGATAAGGCCTGCCAGAACGTGGTCGATTATTCAGCGTTCCAGTGACACGAGACCGTTGCCATAACCTTCCAATGGCACTCTCCACTCACATGTAATCTCTGAGCCACACTGCGTTGAGGTTCACCATCCTGAGGCCAGGCAAGAGCTTTTCCTCTGTCTGTCTTGCTCAGTTGACGTCTTGCCATTGTTGAATTTCAAGTGACAATAGCAATGCGACAATTGCAAGTTTTATTGGGAAAATAAGCATGCACAGCACTAATCCCACGAAGAACACGTGCAAATGCTGTTCATGATGAAACATCATCTTCCACAAGCACAGTGGTGGCACTTCTGTGAAGCACTCAATGTTTCAATTTGTTCATTTTTTAAAACCCTACTACATGATGACTATTGGCACCACGGTTATCTGCAGACTTTATACAGATTCTGTAATGGTTTTGAATAAACTACCATACACGGAATGTAAAATTTCATTCATGTATGATGCAACCAACCTCATCAATAACATTACATGATGATATCGTATGACCCTTAACTTGTTTTGAGTAGTATGTATATTCTAAAGAAGCTACACCAGTGACTTCGTTAAATCTTTGGATAATGTTCACAACTAGATTAAACTGACCGAATTATATCCATATTTTTGCAATGAAATATACTGTTGACATGCAAAACATTTATTAAAACGTTGCACATTTCTACAATCAATCGATAAGATAACACAAGTGATACAGTACAGTAATTTGTATGTTTATTTCACAACAAACACACATACACAAATGATCCCTCACATAACCAATACGTATACTATACGTACACATATTCAACATTTTGAAGAAAACATCTATTGAGATGACCCCTCGCCCGAGCGTGTGCTCAGGTGTCAATTTCACCTCTCGATACCATGCATGCTGATGACGTAACACAGGCAGTTAATGTTTGTATCAAATAACGTCCCACTACCCCTTATTTTTCGAAGTTTTTGGTATTTTCATCAGTAAAAACGCATTTTAGGGCATGTCTCAAAATTTATTCCCTCGGTCTACATTAGGTAGATGTTTCTTAAAGTGATATTTGTTATTTAAGTAATAAAGTAAATAAACTGTAATACCTCTGAATTTTAAATATAAGTCAAAAAGCATTTTTCTAGCATTTCCGACAGTACTGGGTTATGGTATTATTTGCAATTTAATTGTTTAATTGTTGTCCAGGAACCCTGAAAATTAAGAGTATGAGTCCCAGGGACCCTCGAATACAGGATTCCATGTAAATCCCTGCAAACTGATTGTTTGTTTAAGGATATTTCATTAAAGAACCACTAAACTTTGTTTTTTGTTACTCTTTTAACCATTACATATGAAAGATTTATGGTTAGTCTTATGCGGAACACCAAATTTATTCTTTAAAAACTTGTGGTTAATTAATACCGAGCGATTAAAAGTGGCCAAAAAGTCGCCTGCTTCCCTCTCGCCAGCCAACGAAACCACAGACAGGTTACGTAACTCTGTCGCCAGAGCACTGCAGTGACGTCATATGAGGAACGATTTTCAGTTAGTTGTATAGAAAATGTGTAGCACGCTCATCATTTTGATGATTTCTCGACATCAACGGCGACATGCCGAATCGCTGCTTTGTCGCCAATTGCTCCTAGGGGTCGGGTGATGGTGTCACCATGCACAGATTTCCACAGGACCCCGCAGTTCGTGCTAAATGGGTTATGTTTGTGAGTGCGGCGAAGCGTTGTGGAAGCCTGAAACGATATCTTACTGGTGTTCAGATCGCTTCACGGAAGTTAAAGAATCAAAACTACTTACTAGTTATAGTAAAATATGTATATGATTGATGACCATAAAGATTTTCCATAACACAACTTGTAACATAACGATTTCTTCCTCGAAGTGAGGTTGTGGTCGGTAACAATAATATTGTAAGTAGTATTATATTGACACCCACCTCGCTGCCAGGAGAGAAATTGTTATGTTATACGCTATGTCATGCAAAATCCTATTGGCCATCAATAAAATACATATTTTACTACCAGTAGAAAGTAGTTTTGATTTTGTAACTCGGTGAAAACAAACCTAAATAGCATTTATCCTCAGACTGGCGGATGTTCCCGACAGGGCCATTTTGAAAATCGTAAAGTCTGTTAGAATTAATGAGATTATAGTTTGTTTTCATCAAGTTAGAAAATCAAAACTACTTTCTACTCAGAAGTTAAATATGTATTGGAATCATAACCAAAAGGATTTTGCATGACACAACTTATAACATAACGATTTCTTCCACGGAAGCGGTAGGTGGGGGTCAAGTCACAATACTGCGCGATAAATTTCTTGCTACATTCACATGGTTAATGTCCACTCACCAGTATGTAGATACTAGTCAATGTGCGCCTTTATATTTGGTCTTATAATCCTAATTAGTTTATTATCATACTTTTATGCATTTTGAAACTAAATAAAAAGCTGACGATCTGCTGATACTTATAGTGAATTTATAACAGAACTGTAATATCTAGACATTTTATAGTTTGCCAATGTGAATCATAATTCGCACACACACCCTAGTGTATGTTGTCTGTCTCATTACACTTCACGGGCGAAAACAATGATTCTGTTGAATGCTACGACAAAAATGAATAAAAACAAAATGCAAATATTAAATTTAAAACAGATTAAAGTTATAGGAACAATATCAGGCCATTACCTTGTTTGAGGAATGTATCCATCAATATCCACAAAACTGTTCCAAATGATGTGTCTTTTAACAGTTTAATATACTAAAAAGTGATAAATCTTTTCAGGTATTGGTGTATAGTCTCATTGGTCACCCAAGATAGCACACCTGGCAACTAATTGCATAATGTCCGCCTTTCATTAAAAACAGTAATTTAGTTAGCCAATAATGGGCAATCAATCAATGTATTGCCAGTTAATCCTTTGAAAGAAGGACGTTGTTTTTACGCAGACACCGACACGGCAGAGTGTATTCAGTATAGATTAGTAAATCTACATACATAAACACTACCTTTTGACAAATCCGCTGTGTAAGATAAAAGTAATTAATCAATCAGCGTGTTATCGGTTAATCCTTTGATCGATGTTTATAATGTTGAATATTTACTCCAGACACAAGAAATGCCAAATGGGAACCTTTGTCGGTAATCTAAGTGTGTTACCACTAATTATACCTGTTATAAATTCATTAACTGACCATCAAGTGAATGATGACAAATAACATGTGTAGGTTTATACCACCGAACACGGGTTACAACAAGGGAGTATTAATTGCTGTATTGCATGTGAAAACTTATGGGCCGACACTGTTTTGAGATTACAAACAGATTTTTACATGACATGATTAAATATCGAGGTAAAAACACAGAAATGGGATCAATTTGGATCAGTCATTATACAAATAGGGCCTTAACGACACCAATCAATTGTGACAGAAGCGCCTATGAAAACAAGTTGTAACTCGGAAACTAGGCAAAGCAGGAGACAAAATTAAATGCCAGTAGATTGTGAGAACATATAGCTTTCATTTTCCACAACAATTGTCACGATTCCTGGTTTATACAAGCCTGTAAACAAGATAATTTACCCCCTAAAATGTAGATGAATTCTGCATCGGCCCTCAAAGCTATTCCTCATATGACGTCACAGAGTCGCGCCGCTCTGATTGGTTGAAATTTCGTTCGCGGGTGAGAATTGTGCACTGTTGTCAAAAAGGTCGATTTAAGTCAATTAAAGGTCGAAATGAGTAGTTTTAATGACGGGGTTTCATTTATAACGATGTCAGTTAGTGATTTATGTATTTTAACCCCCTAGGGTTTATGTGACCTTTAATAGACCAATTGCAAACACTGCCCCTCAGCACAAACCCAAAAGGCCTCTCCCTTTTGACAGGTTTTAATTAGCGAATGTAATCAAGGACAAAAGCTCTATTATGTCATGGCAAATGTGTTCTTTTATATGCAATAACCCTGTTCAGTCACTCAGTGATGCTTGAAATAGACACTCTTTCTGACACTGATATTGGTGAGATATATTAAAATAGGAGATACCTGGAAAAAGGAGAAACCGAAGATAGTGGTGGTAAAATCCTTCTAATTTTTCACACATATAAAGTTTTGCAAAAACAGCCAAAACAAAATGTGTATTTCTTTGTATACATAGAGAATATTAAACGATGTCCCGTGTTATATCATATTTATGAAACAAGTGAATGGTTTGGTATCTAACGAGCGAAAGCGAGTAAGATACCAATACCATTCACGAGTTTCATAAATATGGTATTACACGGGACATCGTTTAGTATTTTATTTATTACTCACCCAACATTAGTAAAATAATATCGAGCAAAGTACTTCTTTCCAAAGAATTCAACGAGTGTGATGACTCTCAGCTTTCCACTAGTCAAGCAAGGTCTAATAGTATTGTAACAGAGGTATTAGCATTGTGACGTCATAACTGTAAACCAGTTTTACGTCATACGTACGGTACCATGTGATGTTATTACACAATGTTTAATAACATTGTAAAATTATTAAACAGTGATATCTTCAACGGGTGGGTAATAAATATATACATATATAGATATATTTCGTATATTTTCACTTTTTTCTTGTGATACAAGGTTTCAGACAGCAACTTTCACAGGCCATACCATCAAAAGACATCTATGCATCTGCTGTATCTGTGTGAGGCATTCAGCCAGAAGACAAATACCCATGGCACACAGTGATGTAGACAACGCTTGCTGTGGACAATACATATCTGTGAAGAAGGGACTTTTTTACATATAAATCATGTTCCCTTCTTTTTCTACTTACTGTAGACTTCTGATGTTGGCTTCATTATCCAGCTTTGCCTGCTCCAGAAGTGATTTCTGCTGTGTCAAGAGTTCAACTTTCCTGCAAAAATATTTTACAACTGTTTAATAGATATAGAGAGGCCTGATAGTAATTGAAAAGTTCAAGCATGCAGATTTAAAAGAATTTTGTATCTTGTATCAAAAAATGGTGTTTTCACTACATGCAAAATTAGTAAGCAATTCCATTCTCATCCCATGAACATTCCATCATGAACCATTTTGACTCATTCAAATTAGCTGACATTTGACCTCTAGCTATATTCAAACTTTGACCCCTAATGTTCTTCAAAGCATTACAGTCCTATGCAACTAACTTGTTCTTTATATACAAGCGAGTCTGGTAATTCTGCGCGTCCAGTAATTCTGCGCAGCTGCAATAGCATTCTTCCGTGTCGAAGGTAAACATTGTCTGCTACCACATTTACGCTTGAAATCGGGACATTTCTACAAGGGACTGGCTTTTAATCACTAAAGGTAAGTAAATAACTGTAATTGACAGATAAATTGACAGTTTTATGAAAATTCGTTTTTCTTCAGTCTTCTAAACCTTTTTCTTCATTATTCATAATTGGATTTAACATGAAACACTCTTCTTTACATTGATGAAGTGATTTTTAAAAAAATAATCTGGCCCTAACATGCTTCCATACTTCGGATCTCCAGCTGGATGTTATGCGCATCAGTTGCTGCGCAGAATTACCGGACAGCAAGTGATGTCGTCAGAATGCCAGTAAGGTCAACCGTATGGCATAATGCAACGTTAGAATCTTATAGTCGTCAATAAAACTTATATTTCTAGGTAAAGATGATGCATACCAGCATGTTTAGTCACGTAAACCACAAAAAATAAGAGACCTTAGTTGCCGTGTTGCGATCGATGTGCTTAGGTGCGCGGAATTACTGGACAGCATTGTATAGTTTAGCTCTAGTTAATGGCAGTACATGTCCAATGCAGAAGGTTGTGAGTCCATAGCTAACTAAATAACAAAGTTAAAAGCACTTTTTGCATTTCAATGACACCACAATAAACTGTTAACACATGACAGTCCGGGATGATGGTGCCGTCTTCAAACAGTTTGTGAGTGCCAAATATTTAGACCAACTTGCATGATGTACTTATAAAACCTGAACTTACTGCACATTGAAACATATCAAAATCAATATGTTGAATGGCGAGGTTCTGTTCGACACCCATGTATACATTAGATAAAGAGCTGTATTTACAAAACAAAACAACACATTCTGCTGAAACATGATGTAAAGAAGTAAGAGCATACAGATATCAACCCAAACCCTTTCTTTCTTTGTTACAGAATAAGCTTTGAAAAACATACTCATGCAATAACATTCAATCACAAAGGAAGTGGCTTCAATATGACTTAAAAAGAGTTTCCATCACATGTTACATTACCACATTGTCTAAATTAAAAAAAGCACAACATTCACCATTGTCGATATGTTGCATTGTTGCACTTTGAGTAATATTTTATATTCTACAAAAGGGCAACGTTGGGATGTGACAGTGTTCAAGGACAAAATATTCTGCATAGTCAACTGATCTAAAAATAAGGATTAAAATGCACAACGAGACAGGTTATGCTGCCATCTCATTCTACCTGTTTTCATCTACTGCTGGTTGAACGGGGGTATATTTCTAACAAAGCACAGTCAGAAAGATACACCACATGTATTGAATATGATCAAGCGTGGAACAGGACCAAAGCCCCAGAAACTCTCAGGACCAAAGCTGCTGAACACAGTCACTCACTCAAGGACTCTCTGCAACTAAAGTACTGTCGGAAATGCTAGAAAAATGCTTTTTAGCTTTAATACTTTTATAAAGGTGATAAATGTACTATGTTGTCAATATATCAACTATTATATTCGTTTATTAGTTTTTTAGGCCATCGGCCCATGTATATCACTGAACATTAATATACTGATATAGTGAAAGTCACAATAATTATACATTGCAGAGAGACAAAAAATATTTAACATATTTTGCTACATTTAGAATAATTTCATGATCATTACTGCATACAAGTAACTTACAAATGTACAAGAATAAGAAGTACGGTTTTCAGAAAATCGAGATGGTATATATTTACTCCTTATCAAATTATACATTGGGAAGACAAGCAAAATGTGTATAGCATCTTCAACTATATTATCATTACAATTCTTACAGAAACACAAACATTTATCTATACCCTGCCTACGACCAATAGCTGTTTGAATAGGTAACTCGTTTAATCTAAGCAAACATAAATATCTCCTAAACTCCCAGTTTCTAAAATTCATGATATAATATTCTGTATCAAAACATGATTTTAACTGGAGATAATATTTTAACCTATCAGATGTACGTATGTTATTAAATAAGAATTACTTGTACATTACATTCACATATGCGTTGCTTAAATAGCATTAAAAACATATGCATATTACCAATATCCTGAAACAGCCACACATCACCAAATCCGAAACTGAAAAGTAATTGCCTTACACAACTTGCCCATGTTGTCCTGCCAGATTAATTGAATTGTTTCATTAAAAGATAACGCTGCCTGGGATACCTACTATTATCCATGTCAATATATCAATTCACCTATAGTGTACCTAATTTTTATTTCAATCGATTTAACATTCCCATGCATTGAAAGGGCAGTTTACAGGAGAGAATTTGGTACCAAAACAACAACTCAAGATTCTTCAGAGTTGAACAAGAGAAATCTGAAATAATCTCTAAATTTATGCTAATAATACAGGTGGTGCAAAAATATGAATTAACGTTTTTCTTAAACAAATAAATGTTGAATGTTTGTGTTACTTTACTTAATTATCGTTTCTTTATTGAAGAAATATTAATATAAATGTTAAGTCTTGATAAATAAGTTTCCCATCATGCATGCACATCTTTATCACAGTCTTCACTATGGTCAACGATTTGCAGTCGATTGTTGCAAAGATTAATAATTTTTTTGTGCTTGAAAATGACAGAGGTAAACCTTTCATTAGTTTAGAAAGGGTTTATTACAGAACTTGTAGAGCTGTTGGTATGTCTGACCAACAAGTTTAAAATATTGTAAACAAATCAGACAAGACAGGGACCATCTCAAAAGCAAAACCGGGACGTAAAACCATCCTTGACAACTTTGACAAGGGAGTGATTAGATGGGCGGTCTACGAACTTTATAAGAAGAAGATTACACCTACATGAAGGAGTATCAGAGAGCATATTAAGGACAGTATCAATGTCTCCACAACCACCCTCGTCAAGGCTTGTAAAGGTGGTTGTTCCTGGTCGTATATAAATACGACAACGTTGTCGCGCATGTCTTCCATTCCATCGTATTTTTAACCCATCAAAAAGTTTAACACATTTTGTGGGGACATTTACAAGAAACAATTCAATAAAAAGTGTAGAGCCTTGTTGCACCTCATACCATGTATGGTCGCGAAAATAGAAGGAAATACGTTTAAATGAAATTTTATTTATGTCTGGAGCGAGGCTTATTGCCTGTTGTATCTGGTATTGGTATAATGTATGTAATGCGTGACAGATTTTCTAGATATAAAGACCCGATAACAATCCCATTATTTTGTATTTCAATTAAAAATACACTGTCATTGGGAACAACATATGGGTGGGTAAGGGTAATATTTATTAACCAATCGAATTTAGGTTCGAGTGTACACAAAAATTAACCTTTTTGTCTTGCACTTTTTCATCATAAAAAGTGTTTATCATGTAGTTTTATACCCAAACCCGTACATATATCAGAAGTAACTAATTTATTTTTTGCATTATATCAATTCATATTTTCAACATTTACCGAGAGTTCTATGTCCACAATAAACACACCATGGCTTATGTCCCTTGGAATTGACGTCATTGGTGCCCAAACGATAAACGAATGATGTCGTTAGACCTTCTTAGACCCATTTCATGTGGTGCAGGTATAGGTGTGGTTCTTGTGTCTCGATGCGCAGGCTACTGTTTTAATCCAGCTGTTGACTGACCGTCAGCTGGCGCACTGTGATGATGTTGCAGTTTGAAAAAACGCATACATTGTACTAAAACAGTATCTTTTTGCACAAAAACTAAAACGTATATGTATATCTAGCTTGCCATCGGTGAATATGTCGGCATTCTACACTTGTTACTAAAATTCCCACATAAATCGTACGATATTTCCCTCCTCTTCCACCTTCACATTGATATCGATTGTACATCACGCAGATAAATGCAATTTGCAGTTTTGAACTCTGTTTGAAATTCGTTTTTCTATGATATCATCCGCTCATTGTAGATCAAATATTCTGAAAATTACATGCAACGGAAATCTCGCCAGTTTTGACACATTACTAAATCACCATAGTAGTATATACAGTGGGGGTACGAACCAACACCTCCTGGCCAACCTACATCATGTTCGCCTCGATGAAACAGTTTAATGTGAATCTCCTATGATCTCTTTGGTTTTCGTAATGAAGGCTTGCCGGGCTTGTTGTACCCCTTGTTCTATGTACTTTTTTTTCTCGTCTTCGCTGATGCCAGTGCTCTTACAAGACTTGGCCCGGATCTCTTGTTTCATCTCGTGGTACTTGTCGAGTTCAGAGAGGACCAAACGAAACTCCTCCTCGGAGACTTTACTGTCAGTGAGTGCGGTGGAGATGTGGTCGCTTACCGTGTTCAGCTTTGTTTCACTCAAATGGAAATATCCGATGCTAGGTGTAGAATTCTTCAGGATTTAAACTATGATCAATTTGAATGTTATGGGTCTGACGAATAGCAATCACAACAGCACACTGATATTAACATACCTCACATTTCAACAGAAAAGGAACAGCCTGCTGGAGCGACCTCAGGAGAATCCAAGGCTACTGATCAGCATATTGACAAGATGCAAACTGTTCATAAGCCAGTGAACATCTGTACTGATGGTCAAGTCGATGCTACTCATGGTGACTTTGGTGTAATATATTCTGTGGTGCAGCAGTTATGTAAACCTCCACCTGACATTCAGAGGTTTGCTG